ATGCCAAAGAAACCTGTAAGTCGCTTAGAATGCTGCTTCCTCAAATCTAAATCTCAGGTGCACATGAATCTCCTGGGGATCCCATTACATGTAGACTCTGATACAGCAGTTCTGACCTAGGGTCTGAGATTTCTTATTTCTAATAGGGTCCCAGATGATGCCGATACAGCTTGTCCACAGACCACAATTTGAGTAGCAAAGAGTTAGAACTTATGAAGGTGTCAGACTGCATTTGCAATAATTCTCCTGTTCTGGGCATTTTCCTTTAAACCAGGACCCCTGCTTATTTAAGAACTCTAGTTTGTCCATTCACCTGACAACAGGATTTCTCAAACTTTAATAAATATAAAGAATCAGGTGGGGAATTCTTTAAAAAGTCAGATTCTTGATCCTTCCAGATAGAATATTTGGGTAGGTCTAGAATGTGGCCAAGTAATGTAAATTTTTTAACAAGTTTGTCCCCCACATATGATTTTGATGCAGATAGCTTTAGCTGAGGCTTTAGGCAACACTGCCTGGGATGAATAAGGTAAGTAGAAACACTGGTTTTCTACATAGCTCATCCCCCTTAATCATCAGAGTGAAGGATGTCAACTAAATGTTGACCATATTTTGTAGGAGTTGGTAACGAAGGCTGAGTCACACTGGTTAGTCAAACTACTCTCTCACAGTCACAAGGACATGCCCCAAGAATGCCTCCCTGACTGGTGAATCCAGTCCATGCTACAGGAAAACTTCAATCAATAATAACGATATTCACAGAGCAAATGATATGGTAGACCTATGGATACCATTCATTGCTGAATTAGGTAGGCCAAGGTGCCATTTATCTGGGTTCTTCCTCTTAACAAATGGCAACTTCATAAAATGAAATGGCACTACAAGACCCCTGCCAAATTAGTAGCACTCTTGTTTTAATCTGGATGGTTAGAGGATCATCCAGCTCCCATAGGGTTTAGAAGAAAGTTAGCCACATTTTAAAAATTCCCAAGACTAGGAGCTCACAGCTCTGTTTTTCTAATCTGTTTTCTTCCCAGAGGATGTGCAGAGAACAAGTAAGTGAGGTCAGCATGCTTCACTAAGCCCTGGAAATAAACTGTCCAGGGGTTACCAGGAAGAGGTGGGGAGAACTGGGAAGGGGGAACTCATGAGCTATGCAATCTCTGCTTAACGGAGCTGAGACCAAGGAAAACTTCCAGGTTGATTTCTTGAAATGCTCGAGGGGGGTAGGATTTCCGCCACAAATATTTCTTAGGAAACCAAGAATCCAATTGGCTTCCTGCTCAAACAGGCAAAATGCCACTGAGCTCAAGGATATACTAATGGGTAGAACATGCATTTTCTTATTCTTATACCATGTGTGTATCACCAGAGCAACTGGCTCATTCATACATACTCATATAATTATTCCTAAATGACCTTGTTGTGTTGAAAGCTTGCTAAGGTTGTGGTAAGATGATGAAATGAAATCTGTGCTGCCTAGGGGGAAAACACTAAGGAAACGCAAATTTTCAATGTGGATTTTATGTGTATGCATTTTTGTGCTGACTATGTGTTGGAACAATGTGACTTTTGCTATCGGGATAACTGGCAATGTGCCAGTAACATTTGAAAATAAAATGGCTAGGAAAATTATTGCAAAATGAAGACCTGTATCAGCAGTTTGTACTTTTTCCACTCCCAAGTGCTCGCCGATGAGACAGGCTGATTGGATATGGTGATAGAGGATCAAAGGGGTTTTCAGGACGGCCATCCCCTGACCTTTCCAAAGCAGACAAACACTCAGGGTTGCACGGAGACATAACAACATACGGTGGCGTGGAGGTGGAGACTTTTGTAACAAGACACAGATGTAAACAACCAAAACGTGCCCCACTTTGCCCCTTGATTAGTGGTGGCTTCATCTCCTCCCCACTCCACCCCCCCTTTTTCTTCAAATTAATTTATATTCCCTGGTTTCATGAGAATGAGTAGGCTTCTTAAGAAAGCTTTCCATACCATGGACATTTTGGGACCATGTAGTCTAACACCTATGGTTAAGACTGGTAAAAACTGAGGTTAAGTGGCCTATTGAAAAAATCACATCAGTTAGTTGATTGCAGAACCAGAAAGTTGAGAATAAGGCTCTATCCTGACCTTTCTATGTTGGCTCTTGACCTGCCCATCATTTAACTATAGAAATATTCAGGATTTGTGTTACTCTGGTTATTTAAACTTGACACAGTTCATTTGGATGATGATATTTCTAACTTATCTCTCCCATCTCCTCAGACCCTGGCCTAGAAAAAAGTAAACAGTCAGAAAACACTTTTTACAATATCTGCTGAATGAGTGAATGAGTTTTGTACATCAGTTATCTTTGCAGATTTTCTGTATATTTTTAGATCAGTGTATTCTTTTTGAATACAAACTGCGATTTTAAAAAAATATAAGCTGTCATTTAATTTTGGTTTTCCCCCATACACTGCAATCAGCAATAGCACCACCAGTGGCACCACCATGATGATAAATGTCAACAGAGTCTACACTGAAAACTGTTCACATTCAGTTTTACATTCCAAGGGTCAGATTCTCAGGAGGGCCAATTACAAATGGCAAATAATGCCTCATGGGACTATATTTATATAGAGACCGTAAGAATTCATTTTATCTAATGGTAGTCTTTCTGACTGGGTTATTACTTGTGGCTGTGGTTGAAATCAGCCACCATAAATTACGTGAAATCTTCTTTCTCCTGCTGTGCATGTGTGTGCGCACGCACGCACGCGTGCTCGCACACACACACACACACACTGCAAAAAACATGTCTGTATTTTCTAATCCCTCTGTTTTTAGTTCCTCTTCTCCTTAAAGCGAATACATTATTTAAACACACACACACACACACACACACACACACACACACACACACACACACAGAGTTGTTTCCTGCTTCTTCTTCAGTTGCCTTTCCAGTGCCCCTGATTATTATCTCCCAGTGCTTGCTACCCCATAATACAGGGCCTGCCTTGTTTTCCTCACTAGTAGATGTGCAAAGGCAGAGTTTGAAGACTGAAAGCTAATTAGTGCAGTGTTTCTTCCTTTGAGCTCAGAGAAACCCCAGGATCGTACAGCTGATGTCTCCATCTCCAGTAGAAAGAGATGTCTCCAGTCTCTCTCTTTTTCAGGTTAATCTAGCTTGTTCTGAATTGAACTGGAAAGTCTGCCCTGGTGACTCTCCTTTAGTTTTCTATTGGTCCAGGCCATGGGATGTGTTGTTGCCAATGTGACAAAATAAAACTGTGTGCAGAAAACTGCATGGAGAGTGGGCCCCGTGGAGAGGAAGACTTCTGGTCCCCCTCCCCCGACAGCTCATGTGCTCCCCTGTGTATGCAGAATGGATGTTGTGTTTGATGGGGGACGTTGAAGCAAAACGGAGGTAGCCTGAGCTTATTCTTTACTCAATGACATTTGATAATACTGTTTTGGCCAGATTTGCACAATTGTTGGAAAGTAATTTTGTAGCCTGAAACTCTCCCTTTACCAAGAGGATGCCTGAGTCAGATGAACTATCTGAAGACACCCTTGTGATCCTCTACGATGCTGATTAGAAAATCCAACAGAACACAAACAAATCCACAATCCCTATGGATACCTAAGTTAGATTTGAAATGCTAAATATATTTTAAATTAAACTACTTGGTATTTGCACCTAGACGTAATATACTGTATGAATACAAGTACGTCTGCAATTCTGAAAATCTCTGCTCATCTCTATGGTGACATCACATCAGTTTTTACTTATCTGTCGACAACCGAGTGTTCTCAATATCCCAGTTCAGGTTCTGATCTAAAAAGCGGAGTGCAGAAAGGAGGAAATATGTGGTGAGGGGCCCAGCAGGTCTGATGTGGTGCAGCTTGGTATGCAGGGGAGCCGAGACCTAAAGAAATCTGAGAGCTGTTTCAACTCAGCTTCCTTGAAGTGCTTCCTCCAAATCATCGCACGGGATCTTTGGACCAAAAAGAGATGGCCTTGACTCCCAACTACCTCTGCTTTGAAAATGTAAACCTAAGGGGTCCCCGATGGCCTGGGTTTGGGGTCCTGCCTTTTTTTTTTTTTCAACTTTCTTTTGATGCCGGACGTGATAAAAGAAATAGTAAAAGAACTCTGGGTTCTTTGTTAGGCTAGCATATTCAGGTTGGGACAGGCAGTTTGTGAAATCCCATCTCCACCCTGTGCAGAGGCCTCAGGATAGCTTCACGGGCACGACTTTGGCTTATTTCAGTTCTGCTCTTGACTCCTTTGCCCGGAGAGTATATATGAGGCAATCGTTACTACCTGTCATGATGAGCTAGTGCCCTAGAGAAGATTTCCTAACCCAGCTCCACCCTCCCTGAGAATCAGTTTAACCCTAGAAAGTTCCCGGAAGGGGCCCCAAAGGAGTCCTGAAAAACCACCACAGAGAGAAGGGGTTGTACTATTGATGGAGGGCCATGCGGAAGGGATGCACTGTAGTAGGTACTCCCTCTTCTGTCTTGACACACGGCTTAAATACACTCAAGATCTTTTAAAAAGAAATACATATTTTCAGTGCTTCCTTTTCTACCCCCGTGGAGTTTTTCCTGTTTTACACACACACACATACACACACACACACACACACTGCTACCGTGACGACCACCACCAGTGCCACACAGAATTATCGAACAGATCCCAACTCAAATCCTATCGTGCCATTGGAGAGTTGTGGGGCCCTGGATGTGTTCGCATGCCTGTTTCCTCAGACAATAAGAAGAAATATCAACAGCTCCCTCACATGGGAGGTTGTGGGGGTTGGGAGAGGAGATGATGTTTCTCACCCTGAATCCTGCGCAAAGCCGGGCACTCCATAAAGGCAAGGTCAGTCCGCCTTGTCCCCACCCTGACCTTGGCTTCTCCTGATGTGAAGCCTGTATGCTGTCCTTGTGACCTCTCAGTGTTGGTGTCTTCATGTTCATGAACTATCCTTCTTCTCTCACAGCTGGAGAGGTTTTGCCTTCCTGTACTGTAACAGCGACCCTACACCTCTGCAATAGACTGTTTCTATACCTGACGAACTTAGGAAGTGCTCCTCCTTTCTACCTTCAGTCTCTCCTGCTTCACTTTAAAAGCACCTGGATGGAAATGGCACGTGGCTGGAAGCACTTTCCTCAGCAAGGCAGCTCTCCCTGGCTCTCGTCAAGTCATCTAAATGTCGTCTTCACAGATTAAAGCCGAGGGGCCACAGAGGGGCTGTCCCAGCAACAGCTCAGCTGCTTTCCTCTTTGGGGTCCAGGGTCTGTGCTCCCTGAACGAAGATCCCTTTGACTTCAACAAATTGGAATAACACTTATTTCAAATATATTATTTGATGAAAGCAGATGTCAGCAGATACTGCCTATGTAATTGATATTTGATTTATTCAAGATTTATGCATGCTGTGCCTTAGATTTATTAATGATAATCCCCGGCTCTTGTGTTTAATATAGTGGAACCAAAACATAATTTGCTGGGATCAGTCAGAAATGCATCAAAGTGATTAACTCTACATGCAAACCATTATCCAGTGACATCCCTACTGTGCACAGTGCAAAAGGAGGCAATAATACAGTAATTGGCTTCACTTATGCAAGTTGGATATTTGCCGTGATTGCTAGGAAAATTTGGTCCCTTTTATCTCTGATTCTGCATCTCCATATCCCTTGTCATCCTTTGATGCTCCTTTTGCAGGCAGGCTTCCCTGAACTAAGCAGGTGCATGCACACAGGCACACATAACATCCCACCCCAGCGATTATGTGTGAAGGGGGTGCAGAATCTTACCAAAATGACCAGGAGGGTAACTCTCCTTCTCAGGAGGCCCCCTGGTGGGGTACCACCTCTGGTGGGAATGAGGGGCCACCTCTCTCTCCCAGGGGAATGCCAGCAAATGGAAATCATATCTCAGCATTGCTGTCATCCATATCTGTCACCTATATCAAAACCCAGACAGGCTGAAAAACCATTGCCATCTTGGAGTGGACATTTGGAGCTATGCAAACAATCACTAAGATAACGTTTTTGCGGGGTGGGGGAGGTGTGGAAATGACTATTCATTTATGTTTGTTTTCTGTTTTGTTTTGTGTTACCTAATTAAAACTTAATTGGATGAGCATTATATAAGACTATGTCTTTCCCACTTTTTTTGTGGTAAAATATCTTTTCCATTATGAGTTGTTGACAATAGAAGATGGGAGCAGTTTTTATTTTAAAAATTTGAAAGTGAAAATAATATACACACGTGGCAAAGTTTCAATCTATAAAAATGTGTGAAATGAAAAATGGAAGTCTCCCTTCTCTGTTCTACCTTCTATCTCGAATCCCTTTCCCAGAGCTAACCACTGCAATAGCTTCTCGTGTAGCCTTCCAGAAAGTGTAAACAGTGTACCTATGGATATATGCACCATGTGTTTTTCATTTAATACTGTTTTCAGAGATGTTTGCCTGTTTGCCCTGGGAGAGCTACATGATAGTTTCCATGGCTATCCATCATCATTTTTAATTGTTTAAGGTGCTGCCTGGACTGGCGATGTTGTACAGTATGCTTACTACTTGGAAATCATTTAAAAATTTCAGCCTGGGAATTGGGGCTGCAATTTAGAATGAAGTAGCATCTTGTGAAGATTTATAACAAGATGGAAACGCATACTGCATCCCACATTTCACAGCAAAACTTGTAAATGGCCCTTGATTTCTCCGTTGCCTGGAATGTGCCATCTGTCTTCAGGGCATCTGGTGGAACATGCCAGCATGTCAACATGGCATCTTGATGGGGGAGGGCACTTCTGGCTCCCGCACCTAATGCCAGGTTTACATTGGGGTTTCGGCGTACTCCGTAACACACTGGTAAGCACTGTTTACACCATCTACCTCATGGATCGAACATGAGTCACACTAATTGAAAATGAATCCCAGGATGCTTTTCTCGGTTCTTTCATGGAACAACACCAATTGTTCTTTATCAGTTTTCCTTTTGTTCCCTAAGCAGTATTCGAAGCACCTTAAGGATATACAGGGGCAGCTCACAAGGGGCATTCTTATACATTTTTAATGCCATTAGGGAATTGCATTGAGAGTCAGGTGGGTATCGTTTGATGTTTTCTAGCTCATTTTTTTTTCCAGTCACTACGAACAATGCCCCGTGTCCTGAACAGCATTTGCATGGGCTGGACCTGTCAATACCCATCCCAGGCCTTGGTCATTCAGGGTGCTCTCCACTCAGTGAACCCACTGTGCTCCTCGGCTGTGGACACAGCAGTTTGCTCTCTGGACTTCTTTCTCTTAGCTGCTACAGAAGCTACTCCTGCTGCAGCAATCCAAGTGATCTATTTTTCCTGTCCTCAAAGTTAATTGGTTCCTGCTTCAGAGTGCTGTGGACTATGAGGAGCTATATCTTTGCTGGGCAGCAGTCTATCAGACAAGGTCCAGCTGGACTCACTTTGAAAGGCTGCCACAGCTCGGCACAACTCGAGGACGCTGGGCCTCAAGTCTGAAAGAAATTAGGACAGGGCTAAAAGAAGTCTGAGGGAGTGGTTTCAAAATGTAAAGTATGTCTTAAAGCAGTGTAAATCTTCAGACCCCCGGGAGATAAGGGGACCACTGCTGGTACAGAGGGGAGGGGACAGTGGGCAGTTTGTAAGCTGATAACCATTATGGTGAGCTGATCCTTGAGCAAGGCTGACCTGAGTTCAAATCCAACTGTACATGCTTATTCTAGCTGAGAAGCCTCAGGAATGACACTTAACCACTCTGGGCCTCAGTTTCTTCTTCTAGGGGAAAAATGTCTACCTTGGGTGCTATGGCAAGAACTAGGAAAATATATATAAGGACATGTATATGAGGAAAATGACACATAATGCTAGCACAGTGCTTGGCATCCGATAGATAATGGTATCAGTACTAGTAGCCTTACTACTCAACAAGATCCTAGCTTTCAGTCAATGAGCAATTTTCTCAGGGAAAGGCTGTAAGAACTTCAGATACCTAAACTATACTCTGGAGGACATCTGACATCTGCCAGGCCACCGCCTACTCACCACCTACTGCCATGGTCTTTAGGCTGTCCATCCCAAACTCTCTTACACCTTCTGTGAGCCAGTGATCTTGACAATTCCCAAGGGCTCCTTTTGCTGGTGTTCACTGAATGCAGGTCCAACACCTAGACCCGAGGAGTGTAATAAGGAAGAAATGCATAGAGACCTTCAAGCAGCAAATGCTTAATCCAACTTCACAGTACGAGGGAAGAGGCTGGCTGAGGCTACTTACATTTTGAAAAACATCAGTCCCCCTCCTAGAGTGGGTTCTTTCCTTCCACTGTCCATGTTCAAGCTATCGAAATGACACATGAGGCTGTTTGGGTGCTTTAGGCTTATGGAACCTTTTATTTCTGAGCCGCTCTTAAACTTGAGGAAAGTTGGTAATTTGGGGATTATCCTTGACACTCAATTAGGTCTGCACGATACCAGGATATCAGGATGAGAAGATGTTCAGGGTTCCTCTGGGCCCCCACAACACATATTTGTAGAAGGTTAGTATCTGAAGGGATCATAGAAATCCTTTAATTTAGTATCTTGGCTTTCAAATAAATTCCTGTGCAGGATACTAATAAATGCAATTGATAAAAGTGCAGTTACTCTCATCGGAGGCAGAGAAGAGAATTCCCCTCAGGGCGATGCTGGGATCTGAAACACCTTTGAAAACCACATCTGTCTAATTTTTTATGCAATAGAAGAGGACGATAAGGGAGTGCTATCTTAAAGCGTGGTCTCCTGAGCACAGCGTCTGCCTCAGCTGGGATCTTGTTAGAAATTCAAGTTCTCAGGTCCACTCCAGACCTACTGGAGGTAGAGTCCATGCGTTTGTGCTTTAACAATCCCTCTAGATGATTCTGATGTGTGCTCACTCAAGTTGGAGAACAAGTCCTCTAAGAAGCCTTCAGTAAATACGGCAGGCTCATTTAATAAAATCCAGCTTTGGTAGTTGGCACTACTAGCCCTCTACAAATCTCACTGATGGTGTGCACCTTCTTTTAGGAGTGGTTCTCTCCTATTCCTTATACTTTAGTAGCATTGTAGAGAACTCTAAGTCTACTATACTTTGGTAACAGTTCAAATGGTGGTTCTTTTAGACACATGACTTATAATGAAGAGATCTGATCCCCACAACAGATTTTTTCAAATAGATTTGGCCAGTAGCTGAAGCTGTTGTAATGAGATAACATCCATTATGTTATCATGCTATTTCACAGAAATTATAATTTGTTAGTCATAAAAATAGAGCACACCTTGTATTTAAGGAGTAATATTTTAGTTTTTGAAACATGTTTCCCATGCACTATCTCATTTGATATATCTCTCCTGGCACTCTACAATGTCCTCCTTTCTGTTTTTTAGGGGTGAAAAAATGAAGAACAGAGAGGTTAGATAAGTTTTCCTAGGCCACACACCTAGATAGTGGCAGGATTTATATTTGAATCCTCTTTTGACACTCAGTCCATTGTTTTTTTCTGATGTTCTAGGAAATACATTAGACAATTTCCTAAGATGCAAATTTACAACTAGGTCAGTGTCCTCTGTGGAGCGTCATCCTTTTCTCTTCTGTTATTCATTACTGATAGTAATCAACTTTATAAAGGGCCTAAAATTGTTGAATCCCCACTTCAGTGATTAGTTAGGGAGCTCCGTGCCCCATCCTGGTGACAGGTGAGATGTGAGGTGTCATAGCGAGGCAACTATTCCCTTCTGATCCTATTGGTGGGCATCTGTTTCTAGTTGTAAGTGGCCAAACACTCCCTTTGCAGGAAAACTAATAACATCTTAACATATGGTCTTGAATCTGGACCGCCTAATGACCTTGCATGGAGATTAATTGAAGGTGTTAATGGCACAGTCCCCAGCCATGAATGTCAAAATACTGGCTTGGCTGCCTATGCACGTGTTTTAAGAGGATTTGCTACTGATACTGAACTGGATTAACTCTCAATATAAAGAAAAATACTATAACTTCAGCAACCACCTGTGAAGCAAGTTTCTGTAGCTAAGGAGTGTGATTAGTGCTCCAAGCAGGGTGCAGGATAATGAATTTGACATCCCATTTTGACTCCCTGGGAAGAACTCCCAGGGTACAATCTTCTTAAGTGAAGGTATTATAGGGAGAAAAATTCTGCAAAGGGTGAAAAATCCGTTCTATGACCTCCTTAAGACTGTGCGTGGAAAATGCCATTAGAGACTAGAGTTGATTTATGGTTTCTGTGCTAGTACTGCCCTCTCCCTCTTGCCCAAGCAGGAGAAATGGGCAAAAGACTAGTGAAAAAAAACTACGCTTTGAACTAGGCTCCCTAAAGTGTTTACATAGAAATGTTTTAAACTGCCAGGAAGTTTTGAGCTTAGTTATTATAATTATCTCATGCCTTGATCCAGGTACAAACTCCCCTTCTCTCTATTGATTGGTTTTATTTTCTTTTGTTTTCATTCCTATTGTAACTACCCTAGTGCTTGTGTGCTTGTGTACGTGTGTGTTTATTATAATTCACCTTAAAGGCTTCTGATGGAATGGAAATTATAAAGACATAAGAGTAAACAGAATAATCTCCTTTCATGCATATATTCACAAACCCATAAACTCTAAGGAAGAGCGAATTGGATTGTTAAAACATTGCGAATTACTTTTAGTGGGCTTTTCTTTGCCCAGTTTACTCAGCTATTTTGGCCAAGGGAACCGTATAAAATATGTCAAAACCAGATCAACTGCTGGATACACAACTGACTAGAAAGTAAAAATGGACTCACACAGAGCACCACCAATTCAATCATGCCTTAGGGAACAGGCCCTTGAAATTATAATTTCGCAAGTCTTTTTTGAGGAATTACTCAGTGCCTAGTTCTTGGGGTACTCCTTCTCCATGCTCTTGCAACACTTTGTACATACATGTCTCTGGACATCACTTGATGGTATTTGTATGTATTTTCTCCGTTCACATTTGTCTCAACAAACTGTGAGCTTCCTGGGAGTAGACCTGTGTTTTATTTATTTTTTGATCCCAATACTTCCAGCAATGACTAACATAT